TTAGCATTCTCGGAACCTTCATACTGAAAAGCAGCGTTTTGAAGGAACTGTGAAAAAAGGTTTTTGTTGGTCTTGTTTTGTTATCCTGTTAGTTTCCAGGTTGAAAATCTAATGACGACCATTTAGAGGCCTTGGTCTGTAGAGTGTCAGTTGGGGAAGTTTTGCTCTCTTTTTTTAGCCACTCATCTCTGCACCCCACCCCGTCTCGCCCCCCATTTCAGATTAATAGGATGTTGCGTGAAATAGCCATATGCCTCCGTAGAATCTGCACCTTAGCGTGGTAGCCAAACCCACAATCTCCACCTCTGTGGTGCTCTCTTTCTGTCACCTTTGAATTGCAGGCTAGGTGAGGGACCCATATTTACACAAAGGAGACGCTCGCAAACTGCAGTGTTTGAACAGCGCCTTGTGTGTAGCTAATATGCAAGATATTGGCTTCCCCTATCCCTCAACTAATCTGTGTGATCTGACAACTCTCTTTACAGGTGCCATACAAAGTCGCACTCGTGCAGCGTGGACACGGTGCAGAAGTGGCTGACGGGCAGGGAGGCGGGCAAGGGCAATAGAGTTAAAAAGACGGACACTCCACTGGTGGTTCCAACCGCCTTTGACGATGAGGGACACTCTGGCTGAGGAGCCAGCTGCTATGGATGCACGAGTCACAATAAAGAATGTCACGGTAAAAAACATTTTGTATGTTCCCTTCTTGTACTACCCACAATATGCATCTGGGCGACAGATGAATGGGACATGTCGTCTCAACGAGTATACAGTAATTGCCATGAGTATACTGTATACATGGAGAAAGTCAATTGTCCACACAGAATTGTTTCTTAAAATTGCACAAATACTAAACCGGCTTTTTTCAGTTCAAGTCCGAAAAACATGTTAAAAACGGTCAGCACCTATAAAAGATATGAAAACCAATAAAATGGTTTGGACTGAGAAATTTAGCATTTCCACGTTTAAGTCAATTTGATCTACTGAGAAGTTGACTGTTCAAAAATGCAGTAGGATGTCATTCCTGGGCTTTAAAGCCTGACACAGCTAGCATTCTGCTGGTTCTATGCTGGGTACACTGAATGACGCATACGCTGGTGATCAGCAATTTCGCAGGCACTGACCCGCAATTACGCTGGCACTGATCTGTTTTTACGCTGGGACTAATCCGCAATTGGACTGGCTCTGACCCGGAATCACGCTGGCACACTGATGGATTCCTACCGTACTACCGGTTCCATGCCGGGGATCTGTGGCGGGAGCTCGCTGGGAACATCCCGTATTCCCGGCATCCCGGTTTCCCAATAAGGTCCCGGTACCGGCCGGATTCCGGCATTGGGCCCGGCCAATGTCGCCCCTTGGGGCGTTTCCGGTACTGGCCGGTATCGCTATCCCGGCAGGCCAATACCGCCCCATCCCCAACCCGGCGTGTTGTGCTACTTGGGAAGATGCCTGTGCTAAGGCATCAACGGAGTATCGGGTATCGTTATCGAGGTTATTTGAACGATATACCAAAACTACCTATTAACCGGAAATACAATATACATAGATGACCGTAAATTGTATTGAGGATTGGTCGGCCATAGTTTGGGATTGAGGGCTAGTCAAAATGTCACGGTCGACGATCTCTAAAACCCCGCCGTGCATCCGCGCGTTGCTTTGACATTTTAATTCTTTAAAATTAAATAGGTTTTAATATGAAGTGTAATTTCGCGCTGTATACGTCATAAAATATCAATACAAAATTAAAAAAAGTGAAAAAGATTCTAATTTATTCTACTGCCTGACTCAAAATAAAACTACCCGAATGTTTGCAGTACGCGGTAAGAGTTAAAACGAGGGCTGCGTAATTGATGACCTAATTTACCGATTAAGCGATAAATGCTTTAGTTGTGATCAGTATTTTTTAACGAAATAATCGATTGGGTTTAAAGTTAGGAAGTTTGGGGAGAACTTAAAAAAATGCTTCCTTTACAACTTGGTCCATATTTATAAACTTTAGGAGATGGCTCCGTTTTCTTTCCACGGTTAGGCACTTTAGCATTTCCCGTGGTTGTATTCCAGCGTGATTATCAACGTTAACATGTTATAGATATATGAACCATTTCAATGGTTTTCCTTTTTTGAGGGGTACGTATTCCACCAAGAATGGCATAGCCATAAATAGTAAGAAGAATTAGAAGTTGAGTCTCTGTCCTTCTGTCACCTTTTGCTTTGTCTGTCGCGGATTGATGTTCCTTTAGGTTTGTCGCCTCGGTTTCGGGCAATTCAAGTTCAATACCCAGCCCCGCCCGGTTCGATCTGAATGATCATTGTACCAGCCTGCGGTCGTGTGGTGCGTGGTGCACGTTAAAGACCCCCGGCTATCAGTCGTGCTGCACTGGCTGAGTTGCTCATCTATTGTGGGTGACACTGCCACCATGGTCGGGCTGACTAAACTCCTGCTGCATAAACAATAACGACTTTTTTTTTTTTTGGGGGGGGGGGGGGGGGCGGGGGGGGGTGAAGTCAGCCAAATGGTGAATATACCCAAGCTCGCATGCCCTTTCGCACTGATTTCGTAGAAATGTGTGTGCCGCCTTGGTTACTCCCAGGCGAGAGCACTGGCCTACGGATCCCAATGTTGCGGTTCAAATCCCGGTCGAGGTGCCCGCAATCTGACGGAGGCTTATTGCGGAGGGGGCGCCGTGTAACCGAACTTTCGGTTGCACGTTAAAAGATCCCCAGGTGCTCCAAATTAATCCTCAGTTCTCCTCTGGGCCGTGCGAGATGGCCGGCTTGGCACGTAAAACCCCCAAATTTCTTTTGCGCAGAAAATGTAAGTTTTTACATATTTTTAGATATTATATGCATGGACGTCGACGCAACCTAGTAATGAAATGACTAATCGATAAAATGATAACGATTAATTCGGTTGATATTTGAATCAATTCAAAGACTTTGGGCAAACATATTTTTGTGTTTTAAGGAGACGGGGTGTCCACTTAAAACACGAAAACATGTCTGCCCAAAGTCTTTGAATATAAGATCCCTTAATGATTGCAATAATAACACTGCTTGTCATTCCAGGATTTCAGCGGTTAACTGTATTGATGAGGGAAACACTATAAATATATTTTTTTTATATCTGACCTTCCTAACAAATATTTAGTATCTGTACCAATTCAGTCGTTTTGTTCAGCGTAGTATAGGTATACGCTAAGGAATTTAGCATTAAAATTAACGCTAACTGTTGTCCGAGAACTTGATGTCAGATTTTTAACACTCAAGTATTAATGTTCGGCAACTGATATTCAAACTGCAGGTTCACTTAATAAACAAAATGCAGAATATAGGGTGGTTTAACTCACCAGCCTCGATCTAAAATCGACAGTTAAAATCGATGCCTGCACGTAGAAATTTAAACTTTTCGTCAATGGTGTAATTCACAGGTCGGGTTTTTCTTGTAAAATTGCAAAGCAAGGCTATCTTTCTGTAAAAAATAAGGCCAAGAAACTTGCCAGGGCCTACGGCGGGAAGCAAAGCAGACGACAGGGGTCCAGTAGTGGGATGTGTTTGGTGTTCGTATTGATAGATGGCGCTACCTCCTTATCGCGACGGCTCGCGACCACCTTGGTTTATTAAAATGTATATAATATTTTTGAAATGTACCTTAAGTTAAAAAAAATACGCACAATAAAAGCAAAACTCAAAGTAAAATAAAAAAACGCGCCTCGATAACGGCGGCGCTTTCGCGGCCATTGGATTTCGTCTGCGTGTCGTCTGTTATCTGTCGCTGGTCGGCTGCACCTTCAGACGCTGCTCCCGACGCCATCTATCGCTACGAACGCCAAACAGACCCCGATACTGGACTTGGTTGGGTGGGTCGCCTGCCGCCGTAGACCCTGGCAAGTTTCTTGGCCCTAAGTTTTACTAAAAGAGAACTACGCTTTGTAATTTTACAAGAAAATAAACGACTTGTGAAATGCACCATTGACGAAAAGTTTAGATGGCTACGTGCAGGCGTCAATTTTTTACGGTCCATTTTAGATTGAACCTGGTGACTTGAGCCACCCTATATAGTAGTTAAAACGACGAAGGCGAAACTCATAACGAAGATATGTTATGAATTCTGTCTTTCTTCTTTTGCACAGGAATGTCGGAAGCATTTTGTTTTTACATTTCTACGCGTTTTCTCTTACTCTGCACTGAAGGTGAAAGCATATTGGATCTTAATATTTAGCAGCCAGGGATTTTCCAGGCAGCTGACTTCAGGCGTTGAGGCAACACAGTTCATCGAACAACATGGAAGCTTGTTGAGAACTCAAATGTCGAGGGGCAAGCACAAATAACAAAGGATCAACCTTTAGACCTTTTCGCTTCCATCTCAGCTTTGTGCTAAAACTACGCTTTGTTTTTTTTTTATTGTTTTTTTTTATATGGCAGATTTTCCGAAAATTCCGTCTCCCAGAACAGCAGTCCTTGTCGAAGGCGATTTTTCATTCCGTAACGCAGTACTTGCGTCTTCACCTTCTAAATGAATCACGTACGGTCAATAAGGCGCAATCCTGCGCTTACTTTTGTGTGTGATTTGATTTAGCCGGTGAGTTTAAACTCGGAAAAACGACGAGAGTCATGACCATGAACTTTTGACACGGCACGCCTGGCTCCATCGGGTTGTAGCGTTGGTCGGTTTCGGGCTGAATGTGTACTTCAGCAAAGGGCAATTGTTTTAGTGTTACGACGTACAGATTAGCGGATACCGATTTTACTTTGTACTTCGCAGATACTAGATAATGACTCATCGAAAGAGACCCTCGTATTTTTTTTTAAACATTCTGAAACTTCCAGACGTGCGGGAGGTCCCAACCACTGAAAAATAATTCTACGTAAATTTTGCTCGAAGTCTACGTGCTAATACTCCAGGTAATCTTCTTTTCCTCTCGATCCTAGATTGCGTTTGTATTTGTGGGGAATAACAGTGTTTTGGTCGCTGATCGTGAAAGGGAATGTTTACTTACCGAAATATGTGCTGACGATAAGCAAGAAACCAATGTGACGTGAGCTCATATTTCCTACCTACAAGGCGACAACACGCCGCTTTCGGTTTTAAGCGTTTAAGCAAGGTTACTTCTTATATCTCAGCTATCGATGATTAGGAGAAACCTCCAGCTGTAGTTAGGTGCAGTTATGTAGGTCCTAAAAAGCCCCTCGCAAGCGGGCTTCTCAATTTTTTTATGATGAGCTCTTGACGGGTGGCTTACGTTCGAAAAAGCGCTGACGTCAGGACTAGTTCATCTGGAGCAGATAGCGGGGAGCCCATCAACGCGAACTGCCGTTATCATCTGTGCCAGAGTCACCACGGCATGATTGAAAAGGCGAGGCGATTCTCGAAGCGGCGCATGTGGAGCAGATGGGGCTCTCCCCTATCTTCTCCAAATGGAAGAGTCCTGACGTCAGCGCTAGTTCGAACATAAACTACGACTTCGGCGCTCCTCAAAAACCACAAAAAAAAAATCGCCTACTAGCGTGGAGCTGTTTAGTGTCTTCATGGCTGTACATTGTGACGCATGTTGTTTCCTAGCTACGCAGCTGCAACACAGTTGAATGAACCCGTTGTCTCAAACAATCGTTTTAGCAGACTCCATATCATGGTGTCCTAAAGACCAGTTTTAAGTGAAGATTGTAGAGCCTAACAGATTATTTCTTCAGCTTTTGGTTCGAATTAAGCCCTTCGATTAATCACGGGTTTTCATAGAGTTGGTATTACTCAGTTGGGGGAAAGAATTTATGGTACGCTGTATCTAATGCGCTACTTCATGGAAGTTACAAAAAAAAAATTACCGCATGTCCACGTGGTGAATGATGTTGATTGGGGCGAAGCTCTGATGGTGTTAAGAATACTGATTTTGTTCATAGGTAGCGCTGATGGCGCTGATTTTTTTTTTTTTCTTTAGCGGCTGCTTGCAACATATCATCCATGACATCCCCAGCTCTTGAGTTACTACCATATCTCAGAGCCCTCTACTCGTCCCGCAGTCGTGGCCGAGTGGTTAAAGCGATGGACTAGGAATTCATTGTGGTCTCTCCGCACAGGTTCGAATCCTCTCGACTGCTCAAACTTTTTTTTTTTCTTTTTTTAAGAAGACAGATGGGATGGCAATCGATGTGAGCACGGACGCCGAACGGAAAAGGCTGGACCCTAAGGAGCTTCGCCCCTAAAAAAATGTACTTCACTTGAAGTACAGTGCTAATTTAACTTGTCCATTACGCGCGAGCGTGCGGCTTTCTCCGGAGAGCGCTAGACTGGTGGCATTCGCGGAAGCTAAGCTAGTCACGTGGCGCAACATGGAACGGCCCACTCGAGGGTTGTCCTGCCCGCTCTATACTTCGTTTCAGCTTCGGTCCGAGCGCGGCCGATGTTATGAGCCGTAGGGCCAATCAAACTGCAAAAGAGTCAAAACGTCATGGCGTGCTCTCTGCAGTTGATAGGACCAGCCGGTATTCGCCGTCTCTCTGTGCATGCTTCTCCGCCGGCTAGTCTTATCAAGCTCAGAGAGCACGCCATGACGCTGCACTTTTTGCGGTGTTTGATTGGCCCTTCGGCTCACAACATCTGCCGCGCTCGTACCGAAGCTGAAACGAAGTATATCAGCTTGATAAGCGATAAAAGGAAAGTGCTTTATGATATATTTTTGTTTTTTGATGACGACATCGTTGATACACCTTCATGCTTTAGTTCGTTTATTGTTCGAGAAATGTTGTTTGTAAAAGGCGTATGAGCAGCCTTCTGCGTTCGCCGCCACCTGATAGCTGCTGATTTCATGTTGCGGCACGTGACTAGCTTAGTTTTCGCGAATTCCAGCAGTCTAGCACTCCCGGAGAAAGTCGCACGCTCGCGCGTTCTATAGACAAGTGTGATTAGCACTGTGCATTTTCCCAGCCTGCAATGGTAATTAACGTAAGCTACTTTTGTGGTACTTTCCGGGGAAAGTAAAACTCCCGAATCTAAATTACATCACCCAAATATTGCCGCCCGCAGAGCCGAGAAGGCACCGCTTGGTCACGGTCTTCTAGAAGATTCCCGCTCATTCTCGCAGCAGACGTAACTTTCCTTCTGCTTTGTTATTCTCGAAAGTGCCAGTTCATCCTCGCCCCGAGCGCGCGACGCTCGAACCTTCTTTGCCGAACTTTCGAGATAGTGACGCAGGGTAGATAAGCGGCTCCCGCGACCTTGTCGAGTCAGTCTCAGTCTCGTTCGCGCTCTCTGATTCGCCGCTGAATCGCCGCCTGCTTTTCTGCTGCTTCGACGCTCTTTCGTTACTTATTTTTGGTTGGCACAAGTTCGCCCATTAAACCTTTCTTTTCAGTTCACTGTTCGCCTTTTCGTCACCTTCATTCGTGACATTTCTGGTGGAGGTGCGGGGTACTTTGCACGGGTTTCATACGGTCTACTGCCGAAGAAGACCAACCAGTCGACGAAGCCGACCATGGACCCCCAGTCGTCGCAGACCCCGACCGTCACCCCCGTCGTCTACCTGCCCGTCGCCCCTCGTACACCGACGTCCTTCCATGGCGAGATCTACGAAGACGTCGAAGATTGGTTGCAGCAATACGAACGGGTGGCGCTGCACAACCAATGGAATCCGGAACAGCGTCTTCAAAATGTCTATTTTTCTCTCGAGGGAACGGCGCGACACTGGTTCGAGAATCGTGAAACCTCGATTACGTCATGGGACCAGCTGAAAGGAGAGCTCCGAGGGACGTTCGCCAGTCACCACCGAAGGGAGAGAGCCGAGGACCTCCTTCGGACGAGTACGCAAGGCCCCAACGAAAGCGTAACCAGCTTCGTTCAAGACGTCCTGCGACTGAGTGCGCGTGCCGACCCACAAGCCACCGATGACAAGAAGCTGCGTGTCCTCATGCGCGGGGTGAGGGACGACATCTTTGGGGGCCTCGTCCGCTACCCGCCGACCACCGTCGAAGCGTTTGTCACGGAAGCAACGAACATGGAGCGCGCCCTCCAAGCACGCGCCTCCTACTACCAACGACATCCCGGCGTCGTTGCCTCCACGCGGCTTAATGACGACATCGGTGCCCGCACCCGGGACATACGCGCCGTTATCCGGGACGTCGTCCGAGAGGAGCTCCGAAAGCTGCCCCCCGCTACTGAGCGTCCGGCGTCGCTGTCAGTCGCCGAGATCGTGCGCGACGAGGTACAGCGGGCCTTGCTGCCTGAAACTCCCGTCAACGAGCAAGCCCCTGAGGAACCGAGGCTGACCTACGCCGCCATGGCCAGACGACCGCCGCAAGCTCCCCGCCAAGCTACGTTTCCACCACGACGTCAACCTCCAGCGCCACAGTACTACCAACGTCGCGAAGAACGACAGCACGTGCGCCCGGAAAAACCAGCACCCAGGAAAACTGACGTGTGGCGAACGGCCGACCGACGCCCGCTTTGTTACCATTGCGGGGAAGCCGATCATGTCTACCGCCGTTGCCCGTACCGGCAGCAGGGGTTACGAGGCTTCCACCCCGACGACCCGAGACCACGCTACGGAGAGCGACCTAGGGACATCGACGAATACCTCCGCCGTTCGCCTTCCCCAGGACCGTCTCCCCGCCGCGGTTACCGATCGCCATCACCGCAACGCCCTGCATCGCCTCATTGTAGGTCCCGCCGAGAAAGCCTGTCCCCTCTGCCTCGCCGGGAAAACTGAGTGCGGCAATACCGGGAGGTGGTATTGCCGGTGACGAACGACGCCAATATCCTCCACAAACGTCGGAGGGCTCCCACACTAGCGACAAAACGGATAGGAACGACGCTTCTGTGACGGTGTCGAATAACCTCGACGTTACCACCGACGGCCACGACGCGAAGGCACTCGTCGACACCGGAGCAGACTATTCCGTTTTAAGTGGGAAGCTCTCTCGCCGCCTTCGGAAAGTGATGACGCCGTGGGATGGCCCAAAAATACGAACCGCCGGCGGACATCTCATCACACCAGTGGGAAGGTGTACTGCGCGCGTGGACATCCACGGAGAGACCTGCCCCGTGAAGTTCGTCGTCCTCAAAGACTGTTCGAGAGACGTCATCCTTGGCATGGACTTCCTCTGTGAGTACGGTGCGGTGATCGACCTTGGAGCAAACAGGTTGACGCTACGAAAGCCCGTGCTACCTCCGGAGGAATCCATAACGTCGCCAGCCGCCGTCCGAGTCATTGCGGACCACGTGAACCTGCCGCCACGGTCGAGTGTTCTTGTGCCCGTCGTGACCGACGCAGTTGCCAGCGGGAAAGTCTTTCTGGAAGGCAACGTCCAACTGCTTCTCGGAAGAGGAATAGGCGTCGCAAGGGGCGTAGCAGAGCTGCAGGATAGACGTTGTGTGGTCCTCGTGACGAACTTTCGACCGGAGGCGCAGCATCTAACGAAAGGTGCCACTATAGGACACGTCGAGGAACTCCGGGCCGACGCCGAAATCGCCGCGATCTCCGACGAGCCCTCGCGATGTCAGCCGTCCAGTACATTGCCGCAACAGCTTGACATTAACCCCAAGCTCAGCGCCACGGAACGACGACAGCTCGGAGACCTCCTCGCCAAGTTCGGCGACTGCTTTGCGACGACGTCGAGGGTGCGCCAGACAACAGTTGCGAAACACCGCATCATTACCAACGAGGACGCGTTCCCTGTGCATCGGCCGCCGTACCGGGTCTCCCCAAAGGAACGAGAGGCCATTCATGAACAAGTACAGGGGATGCTCAACGACGACATCATTCAGCCTTCGAGCAGCCCGTGGGCCTCTCCAGTTGTGCTGGTAAGGAAGAAAGACGGAACGCTTCGATTCTGCGTTGACTACCGGCGGCTCAGCGCGGTCACGAAGAAAGACGTGTATCCGCTCCCCCGCATCGACCACACGCTGGACCGGCTGCGCCACTCCCGATACTTTTCGTCGATGGACCTTAAGAGTGGCTACTGGCAGATCGAAGTCGACGAACGGGACCGAGAAAAGACTGCCTTCGTCACGCCCGACGGACTGTTTGAGTTCAAGGTGATGCCCTTCGGACTGTGCA